TTTATTTCAGAAGCCGTTGATTCATTGCTTTCAGCTGTGTCATTCCCAATTTGTTCTGTGTTAGTGTCCTCTGCATTTGTTATGGGTGGGCTTGGGTTCTGAGGTTGCATTTTGTTCCTTCTCATCATTTTGTGTAACACTCTCTTCTGACCTTTGTCGTAGATCTTTGTTGCAGTTATAGCCTTAGCACCTACTGAAATTCAGGTGTAGATCTACAAAGTTTGGATTTATCCAGCTGTGCCTGGCTTGGGTCTGGCTGCTGTGCTGAGCTCCTTCCTGCTGCTTCCCTTGAGGGTGTACCTGCTGTGCCCCTGTGACAAGATGTTCTGCTCCTGGACTAGCTCAGTGGTTCTATCCTCTACGCTGTCTGAAGGGATTGCTGCTGCAGCGTTTCACCCCAGGACTGTATGCCAGGCCTGAGCTAAGCCTGGAGGGGACAAGGTGGAGTAGGGGGGAGAGACAGCTCTCCCACACACTCAAGGACCTGGGCTGGGACTGGGTCTAGGGGTTCCCGGAACGTGGCAGAAATTCCTACTCGGTGGATGGGGTGGGGTAGGTGCTTCAGAGTGGTGCGGGGCATCCCAAGGGGGTGGAAGAGGGTCTTGCCCACGCTGCACCTGGGCTGGGACCAGTAGTCGGTCCTGCCAGCGCAGGGTAGCAGGAAGCTCTCCCACACACTCACCGGACCTGGGCTAGGACTGGGTCTCTCATATTGTACTTTTGAGGCATCAGCCACACACAGTACTGTGTAGATACCGTGAATGATCAGGATGTAAAGTTGAACAATAAGTATCTCTTCAGAAAGCCAGGAGGGGCTGTCCTAACCCATTAGGTCTGAAAGATTCCCACACCCTTGTGTACTGTTACTCCTATGGATAGGTGAATCACATGATAGACTTAGTCTCCCTTGACTGTACCCATTTTCAAGATGAGAAAATTGAACCTGGGAATGGGACTCAGATGCTTGCTTGCTCAGGTCTTACAAGGAAGCAGCATTATAGACAGGATTGGGAGGACCTGGAAGAGTTGTGAATGAGTGATTTGAATACAATTGTTTTTCTCTTAGTGATTCCTAAGAGATAGAATCATCATTTTTGATCAATAGACCAAGCCCAGAACCTGATAGTGTGGAATACTGATGGCTCTTCTACACGGATTTCCTCTTAGCATCTAATTTGTGGCTGCGCTTACCAGCCAGAGGGTCTTTTAGCCATCCAAAAGTGAGTTGTTCCCTTTCTTAATGTAACAATGCTAACATGGGTGGCTCTGAACTTGCCCCAAAGAGCAGAGATGGGTGGGCAGAAGGCAAAAGAAGTAAATAAATAAATTAGAAGACTTTAAAAAGTAACTAAATATACATCGTAACTTTTAGTAGGGTGAGAATCTAAGGTATCTGTGAGAATCAGAAAACTGGACTCCTCTTTGGGAAGCCCTTGACTGTGTCAGCAAGACTGCACATGGAGCCCACATTTGGATCCACAGCATATGGCTCCTGGTCATCTTGCTGGTTGCCTAGCTGCACCTTATCGTAGCGGAGCCTGAGGTCCTGCCCAGGGAGCTGGTCATGTACACCTATGCCCAAGGAATTTAGGACTCCACAGTTTGGGGGCAGGGTGGGTGGCCACACAGCCAGGGCCAAAACTCAAACCCCAGTGCTCCCTGTCAGACCCACGAGCCAAGGTGGGGCCTGCTGTCTGTGTGTGATCCAAGTTCAGCCATGGCCTTTCCTCCTGCATGTAGCACACACAGACTCCCTAGAGGAGGGTTTTGTCCCCGGCTCAGCCACCCTCTGCGAACACTCACACATTAAAACAATGACTTGGGGCCGGGGAGATGGCTCAGTAGGATAAGCGCTTGACCAGCAAACACAAGGATCTGAGTTTAATCCCCAGTTCTGCCAATAAATAAATAAATAAAACAATGACTTTATTTTTTAATCGTACATTTCATGGGGTACAGTGAAGCGATTTGCTACGTGTATTCAATGTGTAACTTCATGTGGGGAAATTAACATTTCTAGCTCCTTAATCTTACCACTTCTTTGCAAAGGGAAGCATTTGAAGTACTGTCTTCTAGCTGTTTATCAAATGCAGACAAATTGTTGTAGATGAGGGTCTCCCATCTTGGCTGTAGAGGCCCAGAACTAATTCCCCCTCACACTCTGTGACTTGGTATCTTCTGCCACCCAGATAGCCCCTTGCTGTAGAAGGCTGATTCTTTGGTCTCATTCCTTTCAGATGGCTCTGCCGAAGATGAGGCTCCTGTATACCTGCCTGCTGGGCATAGGGGTGCTCTGTCTGTACTTCAGCATGGAAGCTTTTAAAGAAGGGAAATTTATTTTTAAGAAAAATTATGAGCAGTTCCTTCAGATCCCAGATATTGACTGCAAGAGACATTCTCCTTTTCTTGTTCTGCTGGTGACATCTTCTCCACAGCAGGTGGCAGCTCGCATGGCCATCCGGAAGACATGGGGCCAAGCGCAAGAGGTGAGAGGACAGAGGGTAAGAACTTTCTTCCTCCTGGGGACCAGGAACAGCAAGGAAGAGATGATGGTGGTGGCCCAGGAGAGCAAGACACATGGGGACATCATCCAGAAGAATTTCAAGGATGTCTATTTCAACTTGACCCTGAAGACCATGATGGGCATGGAATGGGTCCACCGCTTTTGTCCTCAAGCAGCTTTTGTGATGAAAACAGACACGGATATGTTTATAAATGTCCCTTATCTGACAGAACTCCTACTGAAGAAAAACAGAACAGCAGGGTTTTTCACAGGTTACTTAAAACTGAAGGAGCTTCCAATCAGAAGCAAGTTAAGTAAGTGGTATGTGAGCCATTCTGAATATCCATGGAGCAAGTACCCACCCTTCTGCTCTGGTACTGCCTATGTCTTCTCCAGCGATGTTGCGAGTCGGGTGTACAACATCTCCGACAGCATCCCATTCATCAAACTGGAAGACGTGTTTGTAGGGCTCTGCCTGGCCAAGCTGGGCATCCTGCCGGAGGAGCTCCACTCCCAGCAGACCTTCTTCCCCGAGGGGCTGCACTTCTCCACCTGCCGCTTTAAGAAGGTGGTGGCTTGCCACTTTGTTAAGCCCCAGGAGTTGCTCACCTACTGGCAAGCACTGCAGGATTCCAAGGAGGGAGACTGTAAGGGGGTCTGAGTAAGGCCCAGGGCACTTCAGGTAACCCACGGGATATTCTGGGGAAAACCTGGCTGGCATCGCTGGGCAGCATGGGAGCCAGACAGTAAGGATGCTCCTCTGCACTCAGGACCCAGATGCAGCGAATGAACAAGCTTAGATGCAGCCACCCTAGCTTCCTACCCGCACCCTGGCACCAATGGCTCTCAAGCCCCATGCATGGTGCTGTGTGCTAGACACACACATTCGTTTGCTCACTTCAGGGCTCATATCTGTATAAAGCCATGGATGCTGTCATTCTCCCTTTCAGATAAGGAAAAAGCAGCCAAAGAAGTGCAGCCACTCATCCCAGGACTCGCAGCCATCAGAACTCCATGCAAAATTGAAAATCTGACTGTCAGCCCCCAGCTCAACCCTCTAGCCCCTAGGAGAGGATGGTGGTGACAGACTCAAGGGAAGCCTCGCAGCTGGCCTCCCAGTCTGTTTTCAGAGTCCCCCACAGCCCAGCTGCCACTCTGAGCCTCTTTAGTGCCAAGCCCAGGACCAGACACTCCCCACAGGGGTGATACAGCTGGGTGCCGAGTCCCAGTTCGCAGCTCTGTGCTGCACTGCCCTCCCACAGCATGTCTCAGAAGACCTGCTTGCCTGCAGTCGTTGTCACTGCCTTTGGCTCCAGATGCATCAGTCACATCATGTGTCAGGCTCAGAAGCTGCTACCAAGCATGGCCTGTGACCACACTGCTGACTTCCCCATGAGCCCCTGGTCTCCAGCTGCTGGGATACCGGTCTCCAAGCAGCTCATGTCCTTCGTCTTGCATTGATGGAGACTGACTGATGGCTTTGGGTCTGTGAGCTCAAACTAAACTGAAGTGCAGCTGGGCACCAGGCACCCTCTACACAGCTTTTGGGGCTTTTTGGGGTTCCTTTGGGTTCTATGTTGAGTGGTTCTCAGGGACCTCTTGGGCACAAAGCACCCATGGACCCAGAGTCAGGGCTGGCTCCCTGTGCATCTGTCCCAAGCCTGACCCCACTCATGTGCTGAGCTTGTTGGATGGCCAAGGAGCGACCGAGGGCCCTGGTCTGGAGTTTAGCTTTGCATTTGCTCTGCTTGGAGGTTTGTGTGAGCCTATTTCTCAAGGCTGTGTGCAAGGTCCTGAAGCCTTTTAACCACTATCACAAGGTAATCTTGCTCTGAATCCTAGGAATGATCCAGTTGGGAGCAGATGCCATCCTCTAGTACTAAACTGAAGAGCTTTCTACATGTTATCTCTTCAGGGGAGGCTGCCACCAGAACCCCTGGTGTCAGGATGAGGAAATTGAGGCAGAGGGCAAGGTAGAGCAACTAGTACAAGGTTCTGTAAACAAAAAGTAACAGAAGTGCTTGTCATAATCTGAGCTGGGCTCCCAAGGTCCTAGTGTTCCCAGACCTGTGGGACTCATGACACCAGCTGCTCCAACTGCACTTGGGAATTTTTTCCAAGTCGCCAAGCCACGACACCCACCTCAGACTCTGCAGAGGAGCCCCTTGGGGTTTGGACTAGATTCCCAGCTCCTCTTATTGCCCTGAGGTCAGAATCCCTGCACTGTCCTCCCTTGTTCCCCCCACCTAGTGTCCCCTCCACAGGTCACCCCTCAGCACACAACAAGCTGCTATTTCCATCTAAAAATAATCTCCCATCCCCCACCACCCCTTGACGCCTTCTCCTCTGCCCAGCCCTTTCTGATTCCTTGTGGTGAAGCCTGCCTGCCAGCGGCATCATGGTCTGAGTCCCATGCAGGGCCCAAGCTCCACCCAGATGTCTCCTCAACAGGCAGTGGCCTTGCTTTGCTGGTACCCTGGGAAGTTCCTGGTCCTCAGAATGATGTTTCTCCCTGATGCGCTCTTGCCCTAGCTCTAGGACCCTGCGTGCCCTTAGCCTTCCTCCTCCTGGCCACTGGCACCTTTGCTGGTTCCTTCTCTTCTGTGACCACCTGGCCTGGTATCCCTGGGCTCAGCCTATACCTGGTCTGCTCCCTCACAGTCCTCAGGGCCTTCCCCCATGCCCTGGATCTCCATGTCCTCCTGTGTTCATGGTACCCATTGGTCTCAGCTGGAATGTCGTCTTGTTCTTCAGTTGCCCCTGTGCTGCTGGCTACTTGATGTCGCCTGATAAACAAATCCTATGCTGAACTTTGGGTTTACCCCACTCACCCATACCTGCAGCTTCCCTGTGCCACAGCATGGCCCCTCCAGCCTTCCATGGAGCCAACACAGGACAGGCCACTGTCTCTACCTTCAATCATATCACCCCACACTTGCCACAGTTCCAGCATCACCCTGAGCCCCCGACTCCCTGGTCTCTGTGTCTCAGCTCAGCAGCTCGCTAACCTCTCCTGCTGGTGCCCAGAGGCTCTTGGAGCTACAGTCTGAAGCCAAACTCCAGACCTTTCCCTCTGGAACACAGCTTTTTCTGATCCAGAGTCTCAGAAATGTCACCACCATCCATCCATCCCTTCAGCTCCACAGGTCAGGATCATCCTTGTGACCAGTTCCTGTTGGTTTCTACTTTGTCCAGGCCTCCACCTTGGTTCAGCCTGACTCATCAAGCTCCTCTGACCAGGCCCTTGGCACTGTCACTCCATCTTCCAGTCTGTCCTCTTTACCGCCAGATAGTTGTTAAAACAGGAAGTCAGATTAAGAAACCAAAAGACCCAGGGAAGCCAAGTGGCCTGTCCCCAGGTTCCCTGTCCCTAGAGTACTATTTCCTGGCTTGGGATCACCAAGCAGGGATGCCACCTCCCTGCAGGCTTCAGGAGGGTGCTCCGTGGCCAAGAGCAGCAGTTTCCAGTGTCCTGGCCTATTGGATGAGCTTCACTGTGACTCACTCACAGTGCCCACTGTGGCCACCTGGGCCATCTGCCTGGCAATACTGGACTCCCACTGGGCACGCAGCACTATTGCAGTTATTTGAAAGGGCTGGCACACAGCTGAAATGGGTTTTCAAGCAAAATTAATTTTCATGCCAGTTTTTTATTCCCCTGAGGATGGTTATTTTTGTGCAGAGAAATTATGCACTTGTTTACTTTGTTTTTTAGAATTTTTTTTTTCAGGCTTTAAACTTGAGCTAGCAGAATAGGTGGGAGGGGCCCTAGGTGTGCATTACAAACATGAGGGTGCACGCACTCAGCATGTGGCAGCCCTGGTGGCCGTAGATCAGAGTGTGGGTGCAGCCTGTTCTCACAGCCTCACAGGGTTCATGCAGAGCAGTCCTTGCAGTGCCTCCAGAAAAGACAGCTGCACCCCAAGGGGGAAGCTGAGTGCAAAGCCTGTCTTTGTCAGTTTTCTGTTGCTATAACCAAACATAGTAGCTAAGTAGTTTATAAAGAATAGAAGTTTACTTGGCTCATGGTTCTAGAAGCAACCCCAGATCTTTCCATTTTTTAAAATTTGAGACAGAGTCTTGCTAAGTCCCGAACTCCCAGGCTGGACTCCCACTGCTTTTCTCCTTCTGTGGCCTTCTGGAAGGTCACAGGCGCACACCACTCCTGGTTTCTCCTCTTCATCTCATAAAACCACTAATACTAGTGTCAGGACATCACCTTTAGGACCTCATCAAAGCCTAATCACTCAGGGTCTCCTCCAGATGCCATCAGAATATGACTTATGGGGTTTCAGAGTGGCGCTTGCAAGGTCTCCTTGGTCTTCCCCTCTGCTCTAGTAGTCGCACACTTACTACTGGACAAGGAATAGTTCTGCAGGAATGGTCCTCAGGCACGTTGTTCAGAGACCTTCCCCCACTCTCAGATTCAGGAGGAACGCTTAGAAACTTGAAATTGGCTTGAAATAAAGCAAATCACATCCAACATCTATTAAGCAGATATTTGTTCTCCACATGCAAAAACCGCACATCACAGTCCTCGCCGTCATTCAGCCTGGGTACAATTTGGAAAGAAAAAAGCCAGCCTGCAGTGACTCTCCTGAGCTCCTGTGCTAAGAGCCCACGGCTCTGTGATAGGTTAAATTATTCACCAGCCTGATTTAATATGACAGCTGCCATGCATCGTGTTAAAAATAGATGAGATGAGGTTTACATTTGCTCCATGTCTCTCATCTGGATGTATTTTTTTTTTTATTAAGAATTAATTTCCAGCTCTTTTCACAGTGGCATGGAATTTTAGTCACTTCTAGGCTGTTATTTCCCAGGGCTGTCTGCCTCTCCGGGCATCTGTCCGGGGGCCTGCCAGTGAGGACCAAGTTGCTGTCATCTCCTAGGTCCTTGGGTGTCTGCACATACACAACAGCTTCCCTCTGTGACAGTGGCCAGCCAGCAGTGCCATAAAAGGTCCCTTTTAACACTGGTCCGTGAACCCTGTAGGATTCATTGTTGTCACTGTTTGCTTTTATCTCTGTTTGGTTCTGTGTGGCACAAACCTGTCTGTGGCCATCAGGAAAGGGCACCATTAGGTGTGATGGGAATAAACTCGTGATGAGGTCTCTCCTGTGGGAAAGGCTTCTCTGTCCTCCGTGGGGAAAGTACAGGTTTGTGGCTGTGGCTGCTGGGAATTTAGAAACACGAATTTCTCTTCACTTTTCTGTTTTTGAAGTCTAGGTCCCACAATGGGACTCTCAGAGGTGCCCTCAGATCAGCCCTGAAGGAGAAGAGTAGAACTGTCATCCCCAGCATGACAAGGACAAGAGCCATGCTGGGGTACATCTAAACAAAGCATTAGTTTTACATTCATTTGAAAAACTGGACACTTGCCAGACATGGTACATACACGCCTACAATTCCAGCATTTGGGAGATTGAGATAGGAGGATCGCCATGAGTTCGTGGCAAGCCTGGGATACATAGTGAGATAAAAGCCAGCCTGAACTATATAGTGAGACCATGTCACAAAAAACAAAAAACACCCAGACACTGCTCGTCAGACATAATCAGTTGCTTTTAAATAAAGTGGAAAGAACTAGGGGTGAAGTCCACTGGTGGAATGTTTGTCTAGCATGGATGAAGCAAATTTAAAAAGTAAATAAATAGAAGTAGGAAAATTGGTTTCATTGCCAAAGGTGGAAGTAGTAGTAGCAGTATTGGGGCCTGGACCCAGGGCATCTGCGCTAAGCTATATCTTAACCCTCCCCCCTTTATTTTTTATTTTTGAGACAGGTTCTTGATGGGTCACTCTTGCTCAGGCTAGGCTCCAATTTGTGATTCTCCAATTTCAGGCTGCCAGAGTTCTGGGATTACAGGAGTGTGCCATCACACCTGGCTTGCTTCATTTCTGGTTTTTGGTTTTTGGTGCTGGTTGGAACCCTAAGCCTCCATCACTGAGTCACACCGTGTTGTGCTGTTTGCACCATCTTGTCTCCTACCCTTCACCAGTTTAGGAGATTGGTTCCCATGTGTGCAGAGTGTAGGTGGCTAGTACGGCACCCATACAGCTAGGACTTGATTGGAAGGCCTGCTGACCCAGAGGTCTCATTCTTTGGTCCCCAGAGAAAGTAAACTAAAGCAGTAGTAACACTTTTTCCATGTTATGTACCACTGTGCAAAAAAAAAAAAAAAAAAAAAAAAAAAAAAAAAAAAAAAATCAGTGGAGTTGACTTCATTTACTTGGACAAATAAGACATAAAAATCCAACACCACTGGAATTAGAACCAACAGAGAAGTCTTTGTTGTCCAATTTTGCTTTTCCTAAAACAAATGAAAGTGAATTTATATGTCCGTGAATGATACTTAAACTGTAATTTCCTTGTATGGTAAGGACTTACCTATCACGTTTGGGAGTGGACATATATATTTATTTATGATTTGTTAATTATCCTATTTATCTTTAATGAAAATGTTAATGTAGACTCATCCCTTGACTCAGATACTTTGGAATTGTAAATAGTTAAGATAAACTTTGCTCTTCCTCAAAAGTTCACAATGTGCAATTAAAACTGGACCATGTTCTTATTTTCACATTGATATATTCTATACCTTGTGTTTGGAAAAATATTTTTTTAATTGGGCTTTGGTTTTATACATTTAGAAAATGACACTGAACAATCTTGACAAGATAATCTTTGTAAGATGTAAGCACTTCTGGATTTCTTTGGATTTGGAAATAACGCCATGGTACTTTATAGTTTGGAAGATCTTTATGGGTTGGTTCTGGGTAGGTAGGGAAAAAACAAAGGCCTCTGAAGGGAATTGTAAGTCAAGGGCATTATGAGATGGGCATCCTTTGGAATTTTTTTATCTCAGGTATATTTTTCTATCATTTAAAGTTTAAGAAATTAAAGCTTGTGACTTGATGTGATTGGACCTTTGGAGTCTTGATGACTCATCTTTAAGGTACAGATTGAATCCTCAATCTTTGAACATGTCATTTCAATGGAAATAAAATGGCTGAAGATTATTAGTATTACTTTTGGTTTTAATATGTGCTTGTTATACTTCTTGTAGTATTGCAGACCTGGAAATCTTTGTCTCACTTTCTCTTTGTGACAAGATGGGGACTGTCTTTGATCCTGTTTGCTTGCTTCACTCCTCTCCCTTCCTTGTGGTACAAGCTTTGTTCCCACCATCATCTCTTCTCTTCTCCCTACAGCCCTAGCACTCCCTCCCTTCTAGAACATTCTCTCAGCATACTAAGTGCTCTCACTCTCCTTATGAGGCCATGTTGGATGTAGGTGTGTACCCACAGGACCTTGGTTAACCTTAGTCACTGCCATAAAGGCCCCATCTCAAAACACAGTCACATTCTGAGACACTGGGAGTTTAGCCTTCAGCATAGGAATTCTTGGGGAACACAATTTAGTCATAAGGGCCGTCTCCTCTGTATGGCCTTCCCTGCCTCTCCTATTCTTTGTCCTCCATTTTCCTTCATTTTTATTGCATCACTCCTTCATTCTCATGTGGCTTTTACCCCCATCCTTCCTCTCTCCAAAGAGACTAAATTCACTTCATTGTGCCTTTTGTCCTCACCTCCGTAGTACATAACAGCAGAGCTTCTCTGCAGTGTCCAGTTTTATGATCCTGTGGTTTAAAAGAACAGAGTTGGAAAGCACTGAATTTTATGGGCCAGGGGAGGTTGGGGTGAACCTGGGATTCCATTGGCTGGGAATAAATGGTGGGGTTGCTGGGTGATGTCACCCAGGAGAGGTGGGAAGGAGGAAAAGCAGTAACCTCCTGGATCTTGGCAGGAAGAATGGGAGGGTGGGGCTGGGCTCAGGACCAGCACCTTCTGCTGATGTAAAAGAGGCTTGGAGCTTGAGCCTGAATTTATTTCTCTTGCTCTAGCCTGAGGCAACATGGCTGCTTTAAAGACAAGCTTATATCATCTTTCCTTCATGAGGACAGACAGAAGGGAAAGGAATTTCATAAACCATATGGGAATGAATGCAGTGTATCTCACTGAGACCTTGAATTTGGAGCAACTGACATAAGGTCTCCAGGATTTTAATTTTTCCAGCAAAGCCATTAAAAACCTCTTCTCGGGGCTGGTGAGATGGCTCAGTGGTCTAAAGCGCCTACTTGGAACAAGCTTAGCAAAGCACAGGGACCGCGGTTCAATCCCCCAGCGCCACATGCCAGCCTGCCCCGCCCCCTGGTGGGCTGAGCTGGCCACACACACACACACACACACACACACACACACATAAATAAAATTTAAGAAAAAAAAAAAAAAAAAACCTCTTCTCTTGCTATGTTCCATTGGCCCATCCTGGGTGCTACCTTAATATGGTAAACTCTGTTCAGATATTAGTAAACAAAAATATGTTTTAGTTAGGATGCTTTTAATGGTAAGAGAAAGAAACAACAGCAACTAGCTATCATCAAAGAGGCAATTTATTGGCTCCGTACTTGGCCAGGTTTCTGAGGACCCCATCTGCTATAGGGAGAGCTAGGCTGTCAGTAGAGGGACCCCAAAGACCCTCCTCTATGATTTTTGGATACAGGTAATCCCATTGTTATCAGGAATCCCAGTGGGAAAGACCACAGCCCATGTCCCCAACCTACAGAAGGAGAGAACTTCTTTATCAGATTTTGTGGATCAGTCCCCAGGAAGCTGGTCTACTAAGTTGCAATTCCACACCCCAGGTCAGTCCATGATGCAGAGGGGATGGAGGAGTCATCATGTAACCATGTGCCTTGAAGGGTGATTGACTATGTGAGTGATCCAGCATGCGCAGAACCACATGGATTAGAGAAAGGAATACTTCAGTCCAAGGAAAAAAAAAGTGCTACTCAGACCAAGTAATACAAGCTCACAAGAGATTGTTGGGCAAAGTTCTGAAAACAGAACCAATATAGCCATGCTCATAAGATAGAGGTGGCATGCATGTCTTTAAGAGAAGATTCTAGAACATTTTTCTTCAAACCTACTTCTTACATAGCTAATTTTTCATAAGTCCACCAGTCCTGAAACCTTAAATAGCAGGCTAAAAATAACTATTTGTTGTTTGTTAGTAATTGATTATGGACATTATTTCATTTAATTCCCATTTGAATTATGGCTAGAATTATTCTTACTTCAGGACAGAGTAGTTGCCTAAGTTGGATGAGTAAAAAGCCAAAGGAAAAGTAACCAGTGACATCAGCATTTGCCTTCGTGTTGACCTGATGGTTCTCTGCAGTCATATAGAACTGTGCGTGAGCAAGAAATCCTTCAGTTCTTCTGCGCCATGAAGCAGAGGGATGAGGAACCAGCAGAAAAGAGTCACTTAGGTGAAAACCACAAGGTCACGTGCCCTTGGCCATCTGTACAATTCTAGGTTGCTGTATTCTTCAAATTCAGCCTTCATGGCAGAGATCTATAACCCTCAACCAAACATTCTTTTCACCTGGCACCATGGCCAAGGAAGGTCGCTCCCAGTCCTCACAAGACAGACACTGCCTTCTCTCTTCTCATTGTCTAACTGCTGCTGTGGTCCTGCAGCCTTTGGGAACATTGCCCTTGTCTGCGTAGCTGGAGGCTGGAACTCAATGACCAGATTCCTTTCAGTGATGAGAACCAGCCGCGCCTAAATTAGATCATATTGTTAGTGTGTCTAGCAGCGATGCTTTGGGTCTTATCTCAGGTAAGAAGCCTCTGGGGTCATCACAAAGGGAAAGACCTTGGAATAGAGCAAGTCCAACTTCCCTGTTGTTCAGACAGGGAAACTGAGTCACAGCTCATTTGTCTGTGGGAGACAACACCAGAAAAAAAAAAAAAAGCCACGCTACTTTCTCTACGCTGGGAACGCTTTCAGATTTTGAGTGCTACATTAAGCATTTAAGATCTTATGTTAAAAAACTAACACCTTAAAAAAAAAAAAAAAACCACCATTCTGTGTCATTTGCTTATTCTGCAGTATGTAAGGAAAGACCTGAAGCATAAAACTGCCCCTGCCAGGTACTCAAAGGTTTAAGTATTTTGCCCAAGCCGTATAGCTAAAATTGGCCCTGGAACTCCAGTGTGACTGAATTAATGTCTGGAATTCAAATGAGACACAAAGCTGTGTATGTCTTCAGGGAGGTCTGGTGTAATTATACACTTAGTTTTTTAGTAGCATATTGACTGGAAATTGCTATGTGTCCATTCAAGAAATGTTTGTGTAAAGCTTACAGTGTTCCAGAGTTCCTGTCTGTTGTAACTACTTTCTCATTGCTGGAACAAAATACCCGATACAAGCTAACAAGGACAGTTTTATTTTGGTTCACAGTGTGGAGCGGTTTCTGTCCATAGTTGGCTGGCTCCAGGAGAAAGAGCTGGGCGTGGGAGGCAGGAAGGAGAGAGGTCCAGGAGGAGGAGGCTGCCCCTTCTAGCAACGGCCCTCCACCCGCCCTCCAGGCTCCCAGCAGCACACCCAGCTATAAGCCCATCAGTGGGCTGATTGAGCATGGCACACCCATGATCGAATCAACACCCCAAGCCCACCTGAGAGTACGAGGCTTTGGGGCACAGCTACATATAAAACATGACACTTGGCTTGTGGAACTTATTATCTGTAAAGAAAAGGGTGGCCAAACAAGGCTTTGAGAATTCTGCAGGCTACTGATGCAAGGGAGGTACCTACCACATGCAGAGGAGGTACCTCCCATGCTCAGTTCTGGGGAGGAGGGCAGGCATCCAGGGGATTACTTAAAATTCTACTCACCGCATCTTATAAAGCCATTCATCCTCTGGCTCCACACCTCCTTCCTCCTTCCTCCCTGTTCATTGTGGAGGACCACCTGAGCAGCTCTCCTTGAAAGAAGAGCGACTGTCTCCATTTTGATTGAGCCTGACCCTATTTCCTATGTACAGAGCTGGCTAGGATTTTTGTTTATCAATTGGCCTTAGGTAAATGTAGGCCACCCACCTAGCTCAGCTCACAATGATCACCTACTTCCCACAGTTCTCAGTCAATCCTCAAGCCACTCCCCCACTGAATAAAAACAGGGTGAGGCCCTGGGTCACTCTCTTGGTTCCGGAAAGCCATCTTCATGGCTGGACTTAGAGCCCCTTGACTCCCCGATGATTGAAAATATAATTTAGTGTCTTTATTTTTACCGTGGGTTGCATTGTAAGTGGTAGATT